AAAGGGCCGACAGGCCAGCAGTGGCGTGGTGGGTAAGGCACTGGACTCCCGCGTGGCCCACCCGTTGGGGTCGCAGACCTGGCAGCTTGCTTCCTTACTGTGCCCCTGTCTCTCTGTCTCTCTCTGGTGAGTGCACGTGCCCTACAGCAACAGCAGTGATAATAAACAGAAAGCGGGCAAGAAGAGCAATGGACTAAGGTCTTACGTTTCAGAACTGTCCGCGGGCAGCGGGGAGGAGGGCCGCGGCAACAGCAGGAGCGTGGAGGGGAGAGAAGGACGGAGTCAGCACCTCGTTCCTGGCCCACCCCACCCTGCTGGGCCCAAGGGAGAGAAATGGAAGTCCCACATTTCCTGGGGGCCCAGGAGGGTGGCCAGATGCTTCTTTGACACTTGACACCTTTCGAGGCCCATTTTCCAGGTCCCCGTGTCCTTGACTCCCCATTGCTCTCGCTCTGCTCTGCGTGGGGCATCGGGGAGGGAACTGGGGGAGGCAGGCATGAGCGGTCCTGCTCTGGCTCCCCTTAGTCAGCCGTCCTCCCGGCGAGGACACTCGGCTCCACACTGCCTGGTGTCCTGGGGCTGCGCTCCTCAGTCTGGGCATGGCCACCCTGGGACGCGAGCCGAGGGCCCACCTCCCGTCCTGCACACCGGCCCACCGCGTCCACCCACGCTGTCAGGAGTGGTGGGGGGCGAGGGCCCGAGGCCTCCAGAGACGGAGACAGCAGGGGACAGGTTTCCCTAGCCCGTGTCCTGAATCGAGGGCATCCCGAGGCGTCCTTTCTCCTTCTCGTTTCCTCTTTTTCTCAGTACCCAGGGACCCAGGTTATCCACCGGAAAGGAAAACAACTTACTCTTCACTGGACGGCGGTCGTCCCACCGATCAGGGAGATGGAAGGGCGAGAAAGAGAAGAGGCTGACATCAGCTGCCACTCTTCCGCCCCTGCCGGCCAGCCATCCCTCAGAAAGGCGTTCGCGGATTATTTTTAACTTTTTACTGTGTACCATTAATTGAAAATGGAGGCCAGACCCGAAGAATCCCTGAGCAGAGCCAGTTAGGTCTGACAAGCGGCCTTGACCGTACTTGGTCTGCAAACGGTGAACCGACGCGAGCTACCCCAACGCTGCTTCACGTCTGGGTCCGCTCTGCTGTGCCAAAGCCTCCCTTCGCGTTTGTTCAGTGGCGCTCCCAAACTCCTGGCTAAACTCTAAAATCTTACCATGCCCAGGTTACCTTTCAGACACTGCTGGGACCTGGGTGCCACTGGCCAGCTCCTCGGTGGTGGGCTCTGTGGAGCCACAGTCCCTTACAACCCGGTCAGCTGACAGCACCGTGTGGACCGGACTGCGGGCGCCACTTAGATTCCGCCAGCTTTTGGGGTACATTAGTAAACATTGTCTATCTCACAGTTCTAGGGAGGCTATCTCAAAAGAATGGCATTATGTTGTTCTATTCATGAAAGAGAGACTAACCCAGCAGTGGGGGTATTCGGGGTTAGAGGCTCAAGCAATGGCCACTACAGGTGGGGACCGTTAAGTCACTGCCTGTCTGTCTCCAGGGGCGAAGGGACGTTCAGGGGGAAACGTCCACTTCCCTCTCGTGCACCGAGCCCCAGGAAGCGCTGACGGGCTCTGCTGACAGTCTGGCTGCCAGCTGAACCCCGGGATCCACACGGGTTCAGTGCGTGGAAGAAGCAACATGTGGGAGGCTCCATCGCGAGTCCTCCCTCCTCAGATGTGAGGTGGGATCCTAGAACCTGGCTGTGAACGAAGACCCTGACAGGCATTGCCCCTGCTCAGAGGCCAGCGCACCTTTTCTGTAAGAGGCCAGAGAGTAAATACCAGGCGTCTTCAAACAGCTCATGGGAAACATATTACGCAAAAACTATACTTGGATTTCAAAAAACGTTTGCACCAGAGTAAACTCCTACAGCGTCTCCTTTGTAGGCTTTGTGGGCCATGCCATCCCGGCCACAGCTGCTCAACTCTGCAGTGCAGGCACCAGAGCGGCCACAGGTGGTGCGAAAGTGACGCTTTATTTACAAAAACGAGCCCTGGACCAGGCTGGTTAGCCGCTCCCGCTCCCTCAGTGGTTTCAGGATCACCAGATGCACCCGAGGGCCTTTGAAGGACCAGATTCCTAGATCCCACCCTTGGCGTGCTCGTGCAGAAGGTCCAGGTGGAAGCCGTAAATCTGTCTTCAAAGCAGTTTCAGTGGCTGGATGGTGACAGCAGTGAGACCTGATGCTCTGCAGGGAAGGCCCTTGCAGGAAGGCCCCGGATTTGCACCTGGAGCCCTCCCCGAGTACACCGGCACGTGAGCACCTAGCACGCCCTGGCCCGGGACTGGCTGTGCTGGGCTGGATCACAGCACCAAGACCCTGTCAGGCTGCTGTCTATCTGTCTCGCTCATTCATGGACGAAAGAAAGAAACAAAATAATAACAAAAAATCGAAAAGGAGGATCAGCCAGCTGGGGGACCGTGCTCTACAACTTGGGCCCCACCGGCTTCGGCTTCGTGCTGTCGTGGGAGTCCCAACATAACGGAGTGGGCACTCCATGTCGTCTCTACCTCCTTCCAGTGAGCAAAAGAGCTCGAGCCAGGTTGTAGAGACACTGCTCCTTTGAGAGACATTTGTACGGTATGACTATGTGTGATATTTTTTAGATTATGGACCTAAAAGATTGACAAGTTTCCACCCTGGAGCGGCACGGACGGGGACAGGAGTCCCCATACCTGAGCTGGGGTGCAGACACGTCTCTGCTGAGGAGACTACTCCACCATCTATTTTCCTCCCTCAGACCATCACTTTTTCTAGAAGGTGAATGGAGAGTTTCTTCTCATTGAAGAAACTTATACACCGGGACCAGCAGTTGGCGTAATGGCTGTGTCGCTGGACTCCCACATAGTCGACCCCGGGTCAAGTTCCAGACCCGGTGGCTTAAACTCACACCGGGCGCGTGTGCGTGTGTGCCCAAGATCCTGAGAGGAGAATGGAGGAGAAGGGATTGTGACATGGCCATCCCCCCGGGGGGTGATTTCTCGCTTTCTGTCTCTCTGTCTCTCTCTGTCTGTCTGACAAGTACATGCACCCTATCTCAAAAGCCTCTCCCAAAAAATAAATAAAATAAATTAAACCAAAAAAAAATTTATACACCACATGAGAGAGACATTAACGTGGACTTACAATGTTCTGAAGCTGGTCTGCAATAGGTGATTACTAAAATTTCAGGAACTTTACAGGCTGGCTATTAAACCATTAGTAACTCAGAGTCAGTCACAGTTAGAGAATTTACACCATGGAAAATGGCAGTGGCTGCAAATCAGAGCCCTTTCCCCAGCCACCCCCACAGTCATTCACCAGCACACCACAGCTGAGATTCCTCAGTGAAGCGCTCCTGGCCCCAAACTAATGGCTCACCGTCAGGGCCCGGACCAACCAGTCCTTCCCTCAGTGCCCAGAGAAGTTCGCGGTACTTACTCTCCTCCTCTGTCCTGTCTGGAGGTGAGGATGCAGACAGCCAGGTTCCGATGGAGGTGGAGAAAGAGAGAGGTCAGCAGTTAGACTCAGGTGCCTGACCCCCAGGTGAGCGGCCCTGACCCCGGGGAGAGCAAGGCGGAAATGCTGGTGGAGCCGGGCAGCGCCCGCCTCTCGCACATGAAGCCGTGGCCCGATTATGCAGAACTCGTGCTCCTAGCGAGTGTCTGGCTCGAGGCAGAGGACAGAGGGCAGCAGAAAGCAGAGCAGGCGAGTTCTGCACGCTCCAGTCAGAGAAGCAGGCCATAAAGACGCCGTGACTGGGTGTAGGGGCTTGCCTAGCCCCCGGCTGTAGCAGGGACCTCCAAGGGGTGATGCTGCTGACCTGCGGGGTACCAGGGAAGTCGTCTGAGACCTGAAGGGTGAGCGGGGTTAAGCCAGCTGAAGGCGCGTGGAAGGAGAGGGAGGGCGGCCAGACGCGGGAGCAGCGTGGGCACGGCCCTGGCTGGGGAGGCAGCCCGGCTCTGGGCCCGCCCAGAGCCCCGCCGAGGGCACAAAGCAGAAGGTGGCTGAGGAAAGGATGCGGCTGGCCAGGGTCAGGCTGGGTGACCCAGAGTACGCGGTGGCCTTGTAGACTGACTGCATCCCGGGAACTACGGTGCACCACTGGGACCTGGGGCCTGGGACCAAATCCCAGCTGCCACTGCCAGCTGCATGGCCTTGGCTACTTAGCCCGCCTTCTGTGGAGACGTCTCAAAAGTGGAATTTTGTTTTCTGTTTTTTAGAGAGGTGTTTTGTTGTTGTTGTTGTTGTTTTGCTATAGGGCACATGCGCTTGCCAGAAAGACAGAGAGAGACAGAGAGTGAGGACTCACCCCCCAGGGAGGATGGCCAAGCCAATCCCTTCTCCTCCATTCTCCTCTCGGGATCTTGGGCACGCACGCTCCAGAATAAACTTGTACTTTAATTTCATTTTCTCCACGAACTTTTCGAAGTGCCCTCATACATGTGTGAACATTTCTCCTGAGTGCACAGGAGACTAGGAATGGTGCTTGCTTCAGGACAGGACTAGGGATCAGATGAGGAGGACTTTGACTTTCCCTTCATGTTTCCTCAGCTTTGCCCCCTGTGCATAAGCTATTTTTACAACAAAAAATCTACAGCGTAACGATTATCTGTTAAATTCTAACTGTGACTTTACATAATAACGAAGATTTTCATTGCATCAAAACTCAAGCAAGACATGTAAGTGGTTACTATCTGAAATGTTCCTTAGACTTGAAATAAAAGCAAACACAGCTGCGCAAGCCTTCACTACCCTGTAGACGAGAGGAGGAAAGAGCAGGGCCCAAGGGTACATCGGCACACTCACCGTCCGGCGACAGCCGGCTCATCATCCCTGAGGAGGAAGGGGAGATCGCGTGTGAGTGCTGGGTCCCTCCAGTCCGACCGCTAACGAAGTCTCTTCTTTGACAAGAGTGGCGCGATGGCTCTGGCCTGGTGGAGGGTTTCGCGTCCCCACCATCGCGTCGCCCGGGCCCCTCGCTGTGGCCATCCCTGTCTCTAATTTCTTTTCCGCTCCCTCGACTCAGCTTCTCAAGAGTGGGCACGTCTCTGGGTCTCCATCGCCACGCGAGTCCAGGCACCTACTAGATGCTCAGAGTTTCGCACCAAAGTTCACAGGCAAGGGCGTCGTGAGTGGGGCCGGGTATTTACCTAGGATCCCTGACGGTGTTCCAGGAGAGCAGGGCCACGGAGGGGAACCACGGGGGGAAGCAGAAACAAGATCAGATGTTAGGGCTGGGCGAGCAGAGAGGGGGCCGAGACGGTCACAGCGAGCAGACCAGCAGACCGGGCTGGAGGCCCAGAACCTGCCAGAGCCCGAGGCTTGCTGGGAGGCCGGGAAGAGCTGAAACGAATGGGAAGGGGCTTGGGGGCAGCCATGGCTTTTCTTTAGTCTGGCCTGGAAGGAAGGCTGTCCGTCACTGACTGGAGAAGGAGGGGCCAAGCTCTTTTCTCCCGCTTAGCTCACGCCAACCCTCCAAGGTCCGAGCGCGTCCCACAGTGTCAGCGAGGACAGGCGCCGCCCGAGGCATGCTGCCATCTGCAGTGCCCTGAGCAGCTGTGCATGACAGTGCAGGGATTCGAACCCGGCTTCCTCTATGAGTTTCCATTTTCTTAGCCCGCCCTGAAGACGCATACTGTTTGTAGGTGGGAAGTTCTGCATGTACGCAGCTCACAAAACCGGTCTCCACATGCCTTGACCTGACCTGGCAGTCAGCGCCTCAGGCTGGGGATATCGTGTGGGGTTGAACGGTGACATGCGAGCTCTGCGTTTTACCAAGGTCACCACTCGGTGACGCAGAGTGGGAAGGGCTGTGCAGACAGCGGGGGGCGGGGGATGGTAATCCACGCTGAGTACTTAGCATCTCCCAGCCGTCCAGGTGTCAGAGACATGAGTCAGGAGACCGGTGGTGGTAGCCAGTGCAGGCTCACGTGGGGTTGAGTCTGTGTGAGCGTGTGTGCAGGGAAGACAGGCACAGAACCAAGAGGGGCTCCTGAACCCCGGTTCTTGGGTCGGGTTGGAAGTGTGTCCTGTCTGAAGGGCACAGAAGGTGAAGCGACCCCCCGAGGGCGGGACGGGCTCTGAGCGTGGAGGGCCTGAGCCCGAGCCTCGTCCTCTTTCCTTGTCCTCCTCCTGACTCGGCCTCCACCCGCTGAGCCTGCAAAGCCTGCCACAAACCCGGCTCACTTCCCGGAACGCGGGCCTGGTGTCCCTGTAAGGGCCATGGACTCCACGGCTTTGTCTACCTGACCTGGGAAAGCGGACCCGGAGCTCAGCGTGTCCGCGCAAACGCGAGCGCTCTGACCCCTGGTTTCCTCTAGCCACGCGTGTGGCTCCCTGACGCCTGGACCACGGGAAGCACGCCATTTCTGGGCCACCGGCTGGGAGGAGCGGGAGGAGCGGGAGGGGTAGGTCGTGTTCAACAGCCTGGGCGGAGGCTCAGCAGAAAGGAGAAAGGATCCCTGTGGGACAGAGGCAGCGGGCGCCCGGAGGCCCGGGGGCGCTTACCTTTCAGCACTGGTGCGCGGCGGGGCAGCCAGCGGGCAGCGCGGCGGTGCCAGGTTCGGAGAGAACACGAACAAGTCGGTCAGCCTGTGCGCCTGTGCCCCTCCAGCCCACGTGGACACGTTGTGCCAGAGGACAGAGCCAGGGGTTGCCACGGCCTGGGGCTCCAACCCCCCAACGCCTGGACTTCGGGAGCTAGCAGGAGGGACTTCCTAACCCGTGTCGCCTCCACTTCTCAACTGGAGACCAGGATGGCTCGTTCCTGGAGAGCAGGCCTGTCCACCCTGTGCCCTGGTTTTCATCTGGAGCCCACCAGCAAGTACACGATGCTTGCTCAGAGCTGAGGCTCTTCGACCCCAAAGAGCTTCGGAGAGCGACAGTCCCGGGAGACCACGGGGACTCTTCCCCCGCCCTCGCTCACGACTGTGACAGAAGCACAGGGCCTTGTGGCCTCCTCTGAGTCCATGCGGCTCCCCCCAGCCCTCCGCGACTGGCAGACAGGGCTAAGAGACCACGTGTGAACCGAGAGCCTCTCCTGTCCTCTCCCTTTCTGCTCTGGGTGGAAGGGCGGGCTCCCCGATTCCGGAGGGGGAAGGAGACAGACTCACGTTGGACTGGAGGGCAGCAGAACCAGCAGTCGGTGGATCCACATGGAAAGGAGAAGCCAAGAGCAGCATCACTGTGGTGCGACCCACCTCAGTTCATTACCACTTGCATTTTTTACAATTATTTATTTAATTTTATTACTATTATTATTTTAATAAACTCACTTTTTTTTTAATAGTCGTTGCATTGGGTACAATGCACACTTTTTTTTTTTTTGGAGAGATTTTCGCTATAGGGTGCGTGTGCTCGCCAGACAGAGAGAGACACAGAGACAGAAAGCAGGAAATCACCCCCCAGGGAGGATGGTCACGCCGCAATCCCTTCTCCTCCATTCTCCTCTTGGGATCTTGGGCACACACGCACATGCGCCCGGCGTGAGTTTAAGCCACTGGGTCCGGGACACGAAACGTGGTCGACTACGTGGGAGTCCAGTGACATAGCCATTACACTAACTGCTGGTTCCCAATAAACTCACTTTTTAATAATTATTAACTTAATTTATTTATTATTAGTCTTCAGTTCTTGCTAAAGGGCCGTGTGCCCTGGAGAGAAAGAGATAGACAGAGAGACAGAGAGTGAGCAATCTCCCCAGGGGTGATGGCCGGGCTGCAGTCCTCTCTCCTCTCCTCTCAGGATTTGGGGCACACACACACATGTGCCTGGTTTGGGTTTCAAGCCACCAGGTCCAGGACCTGAACCACAGTAGACTATGTGGGAGTCCAGCACCTTAACCACTCTGCTACCTGCTAGTCCCTGTGGAGGACTTCTTGTGAGGGACAACTTGTACGTAATCTGTCACAGATAAATCCACAAAGACCACACAGCACTGTATTGGCAAAGGTGTCGGGAATCCTTATTTGACCTTACAGGGTTAGGAGTTCGAGTCTAAATCTATCTGAACATATAGATATTTATCTACACATGATCTAGATATACATGTATCGATACACATCTCCAGATAAACAGAGATATCTATATCTAGATATGTACACACATATGTAAATCCCATGTATGTATGCGGGATCTTTAAAAAGTACGTGGAGGGCTGGCAGGCGGCCTGGTGGTTGTGGCGCTGAACTTCTCCATGGCCAACCGTGGTTCGAGTACCGGACCTGGCGGCTGGCTTTCTCACTTTTCCTCTCTGTCTCTCTGGTCAAAATGAAACGTGATAATAATAATAAAATTAAATAAGTAGTTCTTATAAAAATAAATAAACAGTACATGGGGAGCCAGCCAAGTGACATGCAGTTAAGGTGTCTGGACCCCACATGGCTGACTATGCAGTTTGCCAGAACCTGGCGGCCTGAAAAACACACGGGGCACATGCGTGTGTGGCCGAAAACCTAAGAGGAGAAATGGAAAAGGGTCGTGATATAGCCACCCTCCCCGGAAAGTGCTTTTCCACTCTTCCTCTCTGTCCCCCTCTCTCTCTTTCTCCGGCAAGTGCACATGCTCTATAGCAAATTAAAAAAAAAAAAAAAGTACATAGAAACGGTGTATTATGGGGGCTGGCAGGTGGCATGGTGGGTAAGGCGGTGGACTCCCACATGGCAGACTGTGGTTCGTGTCCTGGACCTGGCGGCTTGCTTTCTCACTTTTCCTCTCTCTGGTCAAATTAAAAAATAATAATAAATAAGATACAATAAAATAATTCTTTTTTAAAAAAGAAACTGTGTATTATGAAAAAAGTATACATGGAAATCAATTTTTCTTTTGCATCAAAATAAAGTCATACTTTTTTTTAATGCCAGAGGGCATGTGCACTTTCCAGGGGGAGACAGAACAGGGGCGGGTCAGAAACCCCCCAGTGGGGTGTGCTCACTGCACATCCCCCTGTCCTCTGCTATTCCACCTGCATTCACAGGTGCCACTGCCACCGGGGCTGGAATTAGAACTGCAGGCTGCCATGTGGGATCAGCTCCCTTAAGCACTAGGCTACAGGGTTGAACCTAAATGTTTGATTTTTTTTTTTGAGAGTAAATATTTAATTTGTAATAAAGTAATTATCAATGGAGATACCTCAAGAAGCAACAACAATGGGAACCAGCAGTTAGCGTAATGGCTATGTTGCTGGACTCCCACGTAGTCGACCGCGGTTCGCGTCCCAGACCCGGTGGCTTAAAACTCACGCTGGGCGCATTTGCGTGTGTGCCCAAGATCCCGAGAGGAGAATGGAGGAGAAGGAATTGCGACATGACCATACCCCCTGGGGGGTGGTTTCTCGCTTTCTGTCTCTCTGTCTCTCTCTCTCTGTCTGGCGAGCACAAGCGCCCTATAGAGAAAACCTCTCCAAAAATTAAAAAAAAAAAAAGAAGAAGCAACGACAACAACAAAAGTTTTTGGGAGAGGAAGCCTCATTAATTAATTAATTAGTTAATTTACCATTATTACCTCTTTTGTTTTTTGTGATAGGGTGTATGCACTTACCAAACAGAGGCCAAGAGAGAAAGAGAGAGAAGGAAAGTGAGAAATCACCCCCCAGGGGGCTGGCAATGCCACTATCCCTTCTCTGCCACTTGCCTCTTGGGATTTTGGTCACACACTCACACGTGCCCAGTGTGATTTTCAAGCTACTGGGTCTGGGACTCGAACCTCCAAGTCAGCCATGGAGGATTCAGCACCTCAACCTCCATGCCACCTTCCAGCCCAGTCCCAGTCAGTGCTAAGAATGCTCAGAGGCCGTAAGACTGCAAAGTGTGCCCGCCACCGGCTGGAGTGCGTGCTGGCCAGGCTGTCACCCTGGAGCGTGCACTCCACTCAGCTGCTCTGGCCCAGCGAGAGGACCAGGCTGGACCCTCCACTGTGATCATCGTCATAGATAAAGATGGCAGTGACTTACTAGGCTCATCCTGAGCCTAAGGCAAAGTCCAGGTCCCAGATCCAAGTCCCACCTTTCCCCAGAATTTCCAGAAGAGTCTGAAAATTCAGAGGAATCTGAGAAGAGCTAGCAGCAGGAAGACAAGGGTGGGGTTTCCCCAGTTCTTACTTTTTTCTTCAATTGCGGCTGGGGGCAAAAACATCAGCCATCCGGATCACAGCAGGATCGGGGAGCAGAGAGCAAGGAGAGAACTCAGCGTTACTCAGGTCACGGCAATAACCAAGAAGACCAGGGCGGGACGTGTTCCTGGAGACCAGCTAACCCACCCGCCCTCTGTCTGTAAAAATAAAGCTGCTCAGCTTCATCTGTGCATTCAAGCACCCGCCCATCCACCCATCACCTCTCCATCCACCCAGTCACTCGCCCTCCTGCACATCCATCCATCCAACCAACATTCATTCAGTGACAGTGACCAGTGCTTGGTGCTAGAGACACCTGTGCAGTAGCATTTGCAAGGCTGTTTGCGATGAGAGAAGCGGGTACAGAAATAAAGAGTATCCCAAACTTCATTCTTTTTTTTCCCCCAGAGAGATTTTTGCCATAGGGCATGTGCACTCATTGGAGAGACAGAGAACGAGACAGAGAGATAGAAAGTGAGAAATCACCCCCGGGGGGAAGGTCATGCCACAGGCCTTCTCCGCCATTCTCCTCTTGGGATCTTGGACATGCAAGCACATGCGCCTGTCACGAGTTTTAAGCCCCTGGGTCCAGAACTTGAACCATGGTTGACTATGTGGGAGTCCAGTGATGTAACCATTACGCCATCTGCTGGTCCCCCAAGCCCTGTTTTTACAGAGCCGGCCACCTATGGATGTTTCAGATACCTTGTAGCCACCTCCAAAGATAATTTGTGGGTGCCGGCAGGAGACATGTTGGTTAAGGCACTGGACTCCCACATGGCCAACTACGGCTTGAGTTCCAGATCTGGTGACTTGTGTTGTCATTTTCCTTCTCTCTCAGGTCACGTTTTAAATAATAATACTAATAAATACAATTACATAAAATAATTATTAAAAGAGAGAGAGAGAGAACTTGTGATCATCACCCTCCCACTTATCAAAATAACTGATCAGATCATCGAACATTTTAAGGTGATGAAAGGCAAGGAAAGACTAACTTTGATAACAAGTTCTAAGGACAAATCACAACACAAAGAGATGAGACCAATGGAGCCAGCAGGTGGCGTGGTAGTTAAAGGGGCTGGATTCTCATATGGCTCCCCACAGTTCGAGTCCCAGACCTGGTGGCTCGCTTTCTCACCTTCTCTCTCTCTCTCTTTTTTTTTTTTTTTTTTTTTT